CGAGAGGTTGGAGTAAATTTATAATTAGTATTAATTTTCGACACTTTTAATATTTTAATGACAATTAAATTCATTAAATTCCTAACATATCTTCCTTTGTCCCTCCCTCTAAGTATCGGAAATCTAAAGTTTTAGATTTGTATTTTAATATTCATATTAAACTTAAAAATTAGTTTGCCAAGAAGTTTCACTTCTGACATGTGTACTTAGTACGCACGCACGCACTTTTGAAGTGAAACTTCTTTATGAGGGTAAATTTTTACGAAAACGTCACGAAGATGTGCAGCGTTCTTTTTTATTTATTTTTTTATAGAACGGGGGGCAAACGGGCAGGAGGCTCATCTGATGTTAAGTGATACCGCCGCCCATGGACACTCTCAATGCCAAAGGGCTCGCGAGTGCGTTGCCGGCCTTTTAAGAATTGGAAAACACTCTTTTCTTGAAGGACCCTAAGTCGAATTGGTTCGGAAATACTTCAGTGGGCAGCTGATTCCACATAGTGGTGGTGCGCGGCAAAAACTGCCTTGAAAAACGCTCAGTTGTGGAACGGCGGACGTCGAGGTGATACGGGTGGAATTTCGTATTCTGTCTCGACGTCCGATGATGAAACTCAGCTGCAGGTATTAATCCGAACAACTCCTCTGAACACTCTCCATGGTAAATGCGGTAGAAGATGCAGAGTGACCCCACATCTCTACGCAACGCCAAAGGATCAAGCCGCTCGGAGAGGGATTGGTCGTCGACGATTCGAACCGCTCTGCGTTGCATACGGTCAAGTGGAAGAAGCTGGTACTGGGGAGCCCCCGCCCAGAGGTGAGAGCAGTACTCCATGTGGGGCCGAATTTGCGCTTTATATAGTTGAATGCGGTGGCCCGGAGTGAAGTACCGCCTCGCCTTGCTGAGCACACCAAGCTTTTTGGAGGTTAATTTAGCCTTTCCCTCCAAGTGACCGCGAAACTGAACGATATGTCAACGCCAAGTATTCCAATGCTGGCTGTGGCTTTAAGAAGAGTGTTTTCGAAAAGAGGAGTAGCGACAAAGGGTGTTTTTTTAGCGTAAAACGCGCAAACTTGTGTCTTCTTGGGGTTAAATTGGACTACGTTTTGTCTGCCACAGCAAAAGAAATAGGGTCGGGGATAGAACACAGCCTTGTGGGAACCCAGCGTTCACGGGTTTAAGGTCGGAACATGCTCCGTCGATGACGACCTTGATGCTCCGATCGGCCAGAAAGCTGGAGATCCAATCGCATAATTTCTCGGGAAGCCCATAGGCTGGAAGCTTCGAGAGCAGTGCTCTGTGCCACACCCGATCGAAGGCTTTCGCTATGTCCAAACTTACCGCCAGCGCCTCCCACTTGGACTCAATTGCCTCTGCCCACCTATGGGTAAGGTATACAAGGAGGTAACCAGCTGAGCGACCACGACGAAAGCCGTACTGAGAATCGCTAATCAACTGGTGGCCCTCTAGATACCACAAGAGCTGGCAATTAATAATGGTTTCCATTATTTTGGAGAACAAGGAGGTTATAGCTATTGGGCGATAGTTGGACGGATCAGAGCGATCGCCTTTTTTAGGGATCGGATGTATCGAAGCGGTCTTCCAGCACTTCGGGACAGTGCCGAGCGAGTACAGGTACCGGAAAAGTCGAGTTGGACGCGAAGAGACAGCCCAAAAGGTCGGCCTTCTCCTTCGCAGTGTGGGCCAGAGAGTCATCCTCCCTGTACAGTGGCGGAATGGCGGGCTGACAAAAATTCCCTTGGACAGCTTTGGCGAGAGACCAGAAGGCTCGAGTCCCTGAAGGGAGCTGGGCCAATCTCTCACCAAATCTGGCAATGTGCTCTGACTTTGCCTTAGTGATTTCCCGTTTGAAGGACCTGGAGGCTGAGTTATATGCTGTTTTAAGTTCGCTGGTATTGGCATCACGAGATTTCGCCGCTTCCGCCCATGATTTAAAGCATTCTCGCTTTCGACGCGAGGCCGCCTTGCAAGAACGTTTAAACCAGGGCTGAGACTTGCCACCGATCGGCATCGCAGAAAATGGAATAAAGAGTTCCATGCCCTGCAGAACCACTTCGGCGACAGAGGCGGCGACGGAATCGGGAGCTTCCGGCGAAAAGCACATAGGCCCCCAAGGGTAGGACGCAAAGAAAGACCGCATCCCGTCCCAATCTGCTGACTTATAGTGCCAAATACGGCGACAACCAATAAAGCGGGGCCGTGAAGGGCGCGTAGATGGCACAGTACTCCGGACCACACAATGATCCGATGAACCCAATGGCGGGTCAACAGAGACTTGATAGTTCTCCGGATGTGAAGTCAGCAGAAGGTCCAACAAAGAGGGTTTATGACCATCCACATCTGGTATTCGCGTAATCGCAGGGACCATTTGTGTCAGGTCGTAGGCTAAAGCAAAGTCGTGAAAGGATCTTCCCGCGTGATCGCTGGTTTCAGAGCCGAGCCAATCGGCATGGTGGGCGTTAAAATCGCCAAGTATCACGATTTCAGCGGTAGAAACCCTTTCGAGCAGGGAATCTGTAGCCATTTGGAAGTGTGTGAAAAGGGACAGAGCGATTGAGAGAGAGTGAGAAGGGCAAGTATCGCATTATTTACGAGTACGAGTTCCGCCGTGGCACTAGTTCTGCGTTAACGACTCGAAGTGTGAATGATGTGTATGGCGGTCATGTTGCAAAAGAAAACACAGTTCGTTTTTGGTTCCAATGTTTTCGTTCTGGAAATATCGACCTGCAGAACAAGCCCCGTGGACGGCCTGAGACCCAAGTTGATAATGAAGTATTGAATCGCAAACCACGTCCGAGTCAGCTGCAGGCTGAGGTGTTAGTGATAAAACTGTTTTAATTCACTGGAAGCAAATTGGGAAGATTAAAAAGCTTGAAATATGGGTAATATGGGTACCTCACGAATTGACTGAAGCAAACCGGCAAACGCGCGTCGACTGCTGCGTTACATTACTGAACCGGCACAATAATGAAGGTATTTTAAACCGAATCATTACCTGTGATGAAAAATGGATTCTTTACGATAATCGGAAGCGCTCAGCGCAATGGTTGGATCCTGGCCAGCCAGCCAAATCCTGCCCCAAGAGAAAATTAACCCCAAAAAGTTACTTGTAAGCGTTTGGTGGACTAGTGCCGGTATTGTTCATTGCAGTTTTCTCAAATCTGGCCAGACTATTACGGCTGATGTCTATTGTCAGCAATTGCAAACCATGATGGAAAAGCTAGCGGCTAAACAACCTAGGCTGGTCAATCGCTCCACGCCACTGCTACTTCACGACAACGCTAGACCACACACTGCACAACAGACGGCTACCAAATTAGAAGAGCTTCAATTGGAATGTCTTAGACATCCTCCGTACTCCCCGGACCTTGCTCCAACAGATTACCATTTTTTTTGAAGTTTGGACAACTCTGATGGGGCAGTCCAAATCGCCTTCACAGATTTTATTGATTCCCGTCCGACTGTTTTTTTTAGTAAAGGGATCAATGAACTACCTATGAGATGGCAAAAGTGCATAGAAAACAATGGTTCATACTTTGATTAATTGAATATATTATATTTAAAAATATTCGACTTTTTGTTCCTCCCATACAAAACGCCAATTTCATATGTAAGGACCTAATATTAGTAGGATATATTATTAACAAATATCCATTTTACACGCCTATCTCACGTTTGTGCTCATCGTTTAATAGCCCTGTTAACAGATTGTCGGGTTTATTATATTACACATTTTCAGCAACTCCATAGAGAATTTTCGTTTTAGCAGCCTTGCTTTGTTAATTATTTTCGTCTGCTTTGTTTATTAATTTCTATTTAATTAATAGCAGTATTGGTAGTGGCTTCAGCGTGCGACCCTCATTCCTGAGGTCGTAGGTTCGATCCCCAGCTGTGCTCCAATGGACTTTTTATATGCGCAATACATTCGCTTGAATGGTGAAGGAAAACATCGTGAGGAAACCGGCTTGCCTTACACCCAAAGTCGATGGCGTGTGTCAGGAGGCTGATCACCTACATGCCTATTAGATTGAAAAAGACCATGAAACAGATACAGAAATCTGAGGCCCAGATTTAAAAAGTTTGTAGCGCCACTGATTAAATTACGTAGTAAAGAGTCCCTTCGGGAGTTGTGAGCTGCGGTATTGCGGGCTACTAAATTGTGAGAAGTTGCATGGATCTGTTCTGGCGCCTTTTTAAATTCTCATGTCCTTTTTTCTTACATATTTTCATAGTACAGACAGTACAGATTATTGTTTCGGGGAAATAAAACACAAATTCATACAAAAAATTTATTCAAGAATTTGTCTCAACATAATTGTATACTTTTAACTGGAGACCAAATATTTAATATAGCAAGCAGTAAAATGAAATATTAGTTAAAAAAACTACAGAATTTCTAGAGAACTAGAGAAATCAAAATATCGACTCCTCCATTTGTCAAATGACATTTGACAGAAGGGAGAGTTCGTAAAATTGTCCTTGAACCTTAAAGATATCCTTGAAATATATGTCTTTATAGTACTTTTTAATTTCCAATAGCGATAGCGATACCGATTCCGATATTTTTGCGTACAAGATCAATATCTAGTTATCTCATTCCTGGTATCACTAATGGAAGTTAAAGAGATCCTGATTAAGGAATTAACCATGCCAAAATTAATCAAAATCTTATTTACTTAAGAAATATTTCATTTAATCAATACTAAGAAGTTTATTGACATTTGCGTGTAATTAAAGTGTTCCCTTTGTTTTTAGAAACAGACTACTACCTTAAACCAATCTCAAATCAGCACTTGAGGACTGTCAATGTCAAACTTTAAATAAAAATAGTTTCATACTTCTTGAAAATAGATGTGACGTTCTGAAATACAAGTATATCCATTCTATAAAAACGGAAATTTCGTCGTAACTAAAGCCTAAAATCTAAGAAAACTAAATCTCTCTATTTCTCGTGGAATTGGTTTGCTAAGCTATTTAGTTACTTAGTCTGAAGAGCGTCTGCGCCTGCGCCGAGGCGAAAGCGAGCGGCGACGGGAACGAGAGGTGCTGCGGCGAGACCTAGACATGAAGTTAAAAATGTATGATACCGTCATTGCAAATTACACCTTAACACAAAGAGATAGATTAGTCCCAACCTTTTTGCGCCATGCTATGTAACATACATAATTTTTAATATAGTATAAGATCCCGATATACAACGACCTTCACCGAGATGCTTATTTAATGAAACGTATTTTATATTTAATTTAATATGTCAATAAATATAATCCACATGGGTTGCCTAGCAATTTTCAGTCCAGAGTATTTTAATTAATATTTAAAAAAAAATATTTTTTAAACATTTCACCGGTATGATTATTAGATAAATTCTATACCAATCGAAAGTATGAAGCCCATAGAATATGCAAACGTTAGGTTGTTTTTAATCAATTAATTATTTATGTGTATATTTTTTATGTGACATTAAAGTATATATACATCTTTAGTAAAAAAGAAGGTTATAGTGATACATATATAATACTACCCTGATTAAAATTATTGATTGAAAAAAATTAAAAAAAATTACTACACGCAAATTATAAAAAAATATTTTTTTTTAAATATTAACTAAACATACTCTGGACTGAAATTTGCTAGGCAACCCATATGGTTTATATTTATTGACATATTAAATTAAATATAAAATACGTTTCATTAAATAAGCATCTCGGTGAAGGTCGTTGTATATCGGGATCTTAGACCAATATTAAAAGACATAATTGTCACTTACTATTACGACTTACATTTACTTAAATGAAAGGTATTACTAGGAAATCGTTAACGAAACAAAGTAAGTAAATTTTCAAAACATAATGAAATAAATAGTTTTGATGGAAGGCAGAAAATGCCAAAACACAGCAAAAACTATTTGCATCCTTTTCTCACCTACTGCGACTCCGTCTTCTGTCTCGGTCTGGAGTGCGACGTCGCTTCGAACGCTCGTCTTCAGACGACGATGAACTGGAATCACGTTTCTTCTTTTTCGCTTCTGTAATATGAGGGACAGTTAACACAAACAAACCGGTATTTCTCTTTTAACAACTCTTTCGTTTCTCTCAAATTGTCTTTACGCTGTGATGAAAACAGTAAGAGTACTAGTACTTGTAAACATTGCGTGACAGGATACGTAATAGTGAGATACGTAGTGTGGGTTAAGAGGACATGATGACCAGGATACGAAAGGTAACGCTTAGGTGGTTTGGCCACTGATTTAGGAGAGGGCAACCCGGTCTACAGGCCCCGGACACAGAAGAGTGGGAGCATAATAGAGACTTCTTAAGAGAGATTAGTAAACAACTTTTCTCTTGATATTAATATATTGAAGCTTGAAGACGAATTTAAACAACAACTTCGGTGAATAGACAAAATATAGATTTACAGGCGCGGAAACTTCTTCGCAGCCAGCTGGTGAACACACTTCAGTAACAAACAAACATATCTTTATTAAATTCTAGTTATTCACAGCGTTCCAGTGATGGTACGGAAAACATCGTAAGGAAACCGGCTTGCCTTAGCCCCAAAAAGTCGACGGCATGTGTCAGACACAGGAGGCTGATCATTTAATTATTTTTTCGCCAAAAGGCAATGTTTTATTAACACACGAAATTTTTTAAACAGACAAAAATTCCTTCACTCAAAATACAATATCTCACATACTGTATGACATACGACAGTTTTATACGCGTGTCTTTTGAAGGTTACGGCTGACTCAAAATCATATTAATACAAGTATCTATGTGTCTGCCTACGAACTTTTCAGTCCACCGATTATTATTTAATGACCAATAAGTACTAATAAATAAAACAATCCCTCACCAGCAGCTTTATTCTCACGATCGCGTTGTCTAGACTTGATCAAACGAACAATCTCCATCAATTCTTTCCGAGCTTCATTTCTTTCCTCTTCCTGAAAATAGATTTACTTATCTCTAGTTACTTTATTCCTTAATCTAAAGCCATAAAGACGCCATTAAAATATCTGAGTCTTCATAGAAAATAATAAAACAATCTTTCTTTAATAAACGGTTTCGTGAGCTTTTTAAATACTAAAGTTTAATTTAGAAAAGTAAAAAATGCTTCCGATGTATTGTTTTAACTGCGTGTATGAACAACGGTCATAAATCACGGCTGTGAAGTTTTTCTTTTCCATTCACACTTGCTCGTTACTCTGAAGGAATGAAACATAGTGCTGAAACCAGCTACTTACTAGTCTATAAATAAAATAATTGATTATCTGACCCACCGAACTTCGTTTTTTCGTTTGATAAAATTACCCAAATTGGTCAAATTTTTAAGTTTTGAGCAACATATTTTGCGATTCATTTTTATTAATATAGCTAACTCCTAATAATTTAGTTCCCGGGAGACAACGGAAAAATACATAAATTTAATACTGTTTTACGCGAGTACTACACATTTAAATAAACGAATTTATGACAATTGACATTATTTCCAGCTCTTTGTCCAAACATACCTTTTTCTTCTCTTGCTCATCTTTCTCTTTTCCATCAGATGAAGAAACCTTGCGCTCGCGTTGCGGTGATTTTGTTTTTCTAAACATTATTAATATTAGAACTAATTAAAACATAGAACTTCATGTAAAACTTGGGGATCTTAGGTCCGGCGAAACAATTGTTTCGAGTAAGTAGCCATTAATAAATAATTGAAAAGGACTCCAAGTCCAGGTTTTGGAATATCAAGCATATATAGAGCGTAATTTTTAATTCAAGCCAAATCCTCCACTAAAAGGAAACATACAAAAAAATCTAAACGATTTTTCATTCCGTAGAATTCTGACATTTCATGAGTGTGGCAACTAAAAATGTTATCCACTGAAATAGGGACAAATTTGACCCATTTGAGGCCATTAACAAAATAAAATGCTACTTTTTTTATGTTTTACCTACAAAAAGGTAAATCTAAATATTTACTTACTAAAGTGACCGTGAATACAAAAGTAACAAATATTTCAATATCACGAACAATATATCAAATTAACTTTCTTTTTAAATAAATTAAATTACTTTATTCTTTAGCTGGTATCACTGCCTACTAATTCCAGGTTTAGTAAACCTTAAAAAAAAATGTTAGATTCAGATGTTCAGACTCGTATTGAAATTGAAAAATATGCCCGGCCAGAAAGGTTTGTAATCTCTGACATGTCAGCTATCATAGCTGTCAGAATTCTACTGAATTAAAAATCAGTGTATAGGCTGATAATATCTAGCAAATGAGTTTGAGGCTTTTAAATAAATTTGCAGTTTAATTAACATTTTCAATCAAATTAATATTATTTTTAGTAATTATTCAATCGTAAGCTAGTAAGTGATTTTGCGTAACTCTAACACTTTGTGCGTTCTAACTCTCTAACGGTAACAGTATCATGAGGCGTAGAGGGTCGATCTCCCACTTAACTATATATAGTTGTAGCGCCATTGGATTGGCAATTGAAGATTTCCCGGTTCAAAGGGCACGCTTAACTTAATTAAATTAATGATAAAATATTTAAACTAACCTCCCCTCTATGTCAAAAGTATCTGGATGTTGTCTGTACCCAGGGTCCACTTTCCCAGACTTAATTTTCTCTTTAGATCTGTTATACATAAATATATAAATTATAATTTTCGGAAAATTGCTCAGAGTACCTACGTCTTTCCTACTAAAACTTTAAGTAACTTTTCATCGCGCGGTGAAGAAAGCCGGCTCAGTGGTTTGGAGATCAGTAGGTCGAGTTGGCACATGAAAGATTTTCATTTCTGAGTCCAATATACTTTTTGGGTCGCAGAGTCAACGGAGTAAGTCATACAATGAAGACTTAATAAAATCAGTAAAATGATAATACTTAAATAATGAGGGCAACTCCCGTTGCCCTCATCCCATATCGCTTTCAAGCCATCTCTTGCAGGCAATAAGGAAAAATTAAATAAGTTCAATAGGTATGTACTGAGAAGATATTTAGAGTCGAGTCTTAGCGCGAACTATGTCACCGGTATGTCAAAATCCAATTCATTTTTGACGTAAAGAAGTCAAAAGTCCTAAGTATAGTTTATGGATCTCACCCATAGGGCTACATATTTATTTATTTATTTCACCATATCATACATACTATATCTACTGTATATGTTACAAACTCTTTTCAAGTATTACGTCACGCAACGCTAGGACTAAGTCGAAAATAATATTATCAATTAAATTCAATCCCCGTGCCGCATCGTAACGTTTTACAAAAAGAATAATCGTATCGAATCGTATCTCGAAAAGAATTGAATTTAAAATATAATGCTGATTTTGTCTGATAGGAGACTTAGACAATAGGTTTTTAGGAGTTAATATTTGTTTAAGTATGGAATATTATTGTCCTGTTATAGTTTGTTACATATCCATTGCACCCTTTCGCCCCGCATAAGCAATACCTGCACCCCTTTGATGCAACAGCATTATAAAAGGAAACGGACAACACACATCAATAGCTTTTGATCGGATACCTCATATTGGACCGGCCAAATCATCAAATTAGTAATAAGTCTAAAATATACATTATTATTTATTGATTGGGCACCTTATATCGGGCCGATTAAAGTGTCATATTTAATGAAGTTCAATAATTGTAATAGTTTGATAAAAGTAATTTAAATATTTTTTTGGGATTGACCGCTGGCCCTCATTTAATTAGTTTGATGATTAACTATAAAAGTTGCTTTTGATTACATTTAACTATTTTTGTTGAATAAATAAATATCAAATTCCGCAAAGCATAAAAGATATAGGAATACAAATTTCCAAATCTATTAAACATTCACGAAATCAAAACTACACATCGTAACCATGGCAACGCGGTCGTTTAATACTAACCTTCCCTCAATATCAAACTCATTAATCTGCAGCTCTTTGTCCTTCGAATCTCTCTCTGATCTATTACGTTTCGATCTATCCTTAGATTTATCGCGTCTATCTTTGGATTTATCACGTCTGTCTTTGGACCGGTCGCGTCTTTCCTTGGATCCACGTCTATCTTTAGAGCGATCCCGTCTTTCTTTAGACCTATCATATTTATCTCGTGACCTATCACGTCTCTCTTTAGATCTGTCTTTAGATTTATCACGCTTTCTATCTTTAGATTCACGAGATTTGGGTCTATCTGGTGTATTATCCTGAGACCGTCTCTCCATATCGCGTTGGCGTTTAGGTTCTCGATCGTGTGACTTCTCATCCCTTTTATTTTTCTCAAATCGGTCCAAAGTTCTAGGACTAAGTTCGGGTGATTTAGTTTTAGCTCGGTATCTTTCATTTTTGTCTTCGTTGACCTTGTATTTGTCGGTTCGCTTGTGTCTGTCATCTTTACTTAAATCCTCTTTATCATTTCTGTCATCTCGGTTCTCACGCTTTCTTAGACTTTCTCTAAGATCAGGTTGATCGTTTCTCTCGTTGCGATATTTCTCTCTCTCTTTATCTTTAGGTACTTCACGTCGGATTTCCACTACCTCTTTTTTTGCCCTGAAAATTAAATCAGAATTGAACAATCTTTAATGATTGCTGAAAATTAAATTTTAATTAACTAAAATATCAAAAATATAGATATCAAGAAAGAAATTTATGCCAAATTCAGATCGAAAAAGTGATCACAATAGCCGTGGCTCATGATAGCCGTTTTGACACGAGTCAAGCATTCGATTACGTTGAACAGCTATGCTGATTCAAAATTGTTGCGGTTGAGTTGACGATGAGTATGGAAAAAAAAAATGTGTGCGTGTACTAGGTGTACACACGTATGAAGTGAAACTTATATAAAACCTTTGTTGTACGCAGAGCCATAATTGGTTTGTTTTAAGTTTAGAGGTCCGAAACTATTTCTTTAAACACAGTAAATTTTGATACACTGCCTAGCATACAATTTACAAATTAATTGCTGCAAATTGCGATTAGCAAATTTCAAGTCGAAAATGTAATCCGTTGGAAAACTTCAAAGTCAAAAACATACTATATGTCATATTTTAACGCCGATAAAGAAGTTTGACTTCGAAAATGTAATCCGTTGTCAAACTTCAAAGTCAAAAACATACTATATGTCATATTTTAACGCCGATAAAGAAGTTTGACTTCAAAAAGCAACATGGCGCGTAACGGAAAAATGTGACGCGTAACGCAAAAATGTTACACTAAATTTTTTTCCAACCCCGATAAAGAAGTTTCACTTCAATAACACAATTATAAAAAGACTTACACCAAAAGGTACAAGTTTACATAGAAAGAAAACTTACACTTGTTCTTTGTTCCTTGAAAACGTGCTCCTTAGCAGCGTGAAAGGGTCGTATTCACCCTTATTCTGGCTCTCAGACCCCATGGGAGCCACAGCTGACGAGAGCTTGGGCGCTGCTTGAACTACAGCAGATGATATACCTTCGCGACGACGGAAGTCACGTGTGTCTTTCATGTCCCTGGAAATTTTTGATCACGTAATTCGTTGATTGATTTTAAAAATTATGCAGTTCGGAAGTAAAAATCGACCTAAATCGTTTTAATTTTTATGAAAAAAACCTAATAATTTAAAAATTATCACATAGTTTTGATTCATTTATTCAGATAAATAGTTAGCATAGCTAAATGCTAGCAATAACTATATTTCGTTGCTAGTTGTCTCATCACAAATAAAATTTGAGGCATTTGGCTGGAATGTGATGTGGACACAGTAACCTTAACAAGATACATAACGTGTTTACCGAACCAAATCTAAAGAAATCGGATAATTTAATAAAATAAATATTCTTTTTTACTAACTTAAGCTGAAATTTAAATTAGAAAGGAAGTTTTACCTGAGCTGATCATGTTTGGGGTTGACTCCAAGAGCCCTAGCCAGTATATCGGCCCGGTTATCCGCAAGGCGTTTCTGCTCCATACGTTTAGATGGGATTTCGCCTTCCTCTGTTCAAACATACAAATCTTTGAATCGCTTTTCATAAATAACGATTTAATCACTAATTTGAACAGCAGTTAGTAAAAAAAAGTGCTATTTATACAACATATTATGTCCTCCAAAGACAAAAAATACTACGCCACGGATTTGGCGGTTTTAAAGGCTTTTGGTGAATTAGAAAAATTTTAGCCAAATTTAACGGATTACGATATAATTAATAAACAAAGCATTCGTAAATTTTTTGGTATCTAAAAGAACATACCATCCTGGTCCACATCTTCTTCGAAATCCAGTGCGTTGTAGTCAACTTTTCCATCCCGAGATTGCTCTAAAACATTAGATATGGAGAATTTCAATTAGAAATCGAAATAAAATCTAATTTTTCGCAAACACCTTAACAGTTTAATATATTGAATATTCGACACAGTTACTAGTAAAATAACACATTTATTAGTTAACAAGCTATCCAAGAATATAGACATTAAAATGTTCAAATACAGTGTAAACTTTATATAACGACACTGAAGGGACTATGCATTTTATGTCGTTATAGAGAGTTGTCGTTAAATGGAGAGAAGAAAAATTAAAATTAGAAAAAGAAATTATATGAATGCTATTGCGTATAGTCTCATAATTTAAAGTAGGTGAGCAACTAAGAATATGATAACGTATAGATAACCTGATCTAATAACTAAAATCAATGGCGCTAAAACCTTTTTAAGGTCTGGGTCTCAGATTTCTGTATCTGTTTCATGATCATTTGTTAATCTAATAGGCCAGCAGCTGATCAGCCTCCTGACGAGTAACATTTCCTCACGATTTTTTCCTTCACCGTTCGAGCGAATGTTAATATCTAATATCGCCTACTTATTAATCATGGTCAACAACAGTCTACCAGAAATCCCAATTTGTAAACAAAAGAACGAATTTCTTAGAAAGTTCGTATGCATGATGCCGACAGTCGAATTTGTTGCGGCTTCGTTCGTCGTTAAATCGAGGGACTTTACATGGAGTTTACACTGTAATTTTAATTTTACAGGGGGAAACGGGTAGGAGTCTCCACCCGATGTTAAGTTATACCCATGGACACGCATCGCAGAGGGGTCGCGAGTGAGTCGCCGTCCTTTTAAAAATTGGTACGTTCTTTTCTGAAGGACCCTAAATCGTATTGTATATCTCACAAGCAGCTTCCAACTTACCCAACGTCGTATCACACTCTCCTTCCTCCTTCTCTCCTTGTCTAGGCGGTGTATTAGTTACCCCTATAATAAATAGATAATGATTTAATTAAATTATTTTGAGAAGGATAAAAACCTTTCAAATAAGTGGAAAAAAATATATACAAAAAGAGTGTCTTCCCCTTAATAGTTAATAGGGACTGTTAAATATATTTTTTAGTAAATTAGGATAGTTTTGAATTGTCAGAAAGAAATTAAATTAATTGTAAATTTACATTTACTACCAGTTCGCAAGTCAAGGGCGTAGAGCGGGTAAGAAGAACTGGCAAGAAACTTTCCGCCACTCTTTTTAATCGCCAAGTATTGTCATACAAATTGTTTGAACTGGAGCAAATCAATCCCAAGGATTAGGATCATTTAAGTATTCCTCAAATTTATAAAAAGCTTTATTGATTAATTTCCGTTTAACGAGGGCTTTGAATTTATTTAGTGATAATTCTCTAATTTCGCTTGGGAGTTTGTTGTAAAAACGAATACAATTTCATATAAGGAGTGCCTGGTTGGTCGTACACTCAAATTAGTTCTATTTCGCGTATTATACTGGATAATTAAAATATATACAAGATAAAATAAGCATACAATAATGTTACCAGTTAAGACTTATTAGTCTTAGGTTAGGCTAGATCGTAATGTTTCATTATATCTTTGTTCAGAGACAATTTATTGAGAAAAGTAAATCTTTTTGAAAGTGAAGCGACAAATACGATACTTTTAACTCTATAAAAATACAAGTCAAAGTTTTTTTTTTTTTAAAAGACAATTCACACCAATTGACCTAGTCCCATGCTAAGCTGGTGAAGCTTGTGTTATGGGTACTAGGCAACGGATATAATACATATTATAGATAGATAAACATATAAATATATATTTAAACAACCAAGACCTAAACCCAACACTAAATGCTTATCACATCGATGTTCGTCTCAGCCGGGGATCGAACCCGGGACCCATGGATTCGCAGTCAGGGGTACTAACCACTAGACTAAAGAGTCGCCTAAAGTTAGTGACAGTAATACGATTTAAATTTATTTTAATCCGTTAAAACAGAGGTGATAAACTTACTCTGCGACTGTTTGACTACCGGCTTCTTCAAATTCTCCTGAACCCGTTCATGTTCATTACGCTGAAAAGATATCGAAAGCGTTATTCATATTGTTAGATTTCACAAATAATTGAGGGTAGGCTGAACGTGAAATAAGGCGAGCTGTCGGCAGTGATTCCAACGTTTCAAAATTTAGGGGTAATCATGATGTCCTGCGGGGTTTTAGGAGGTACATTTATTTACGGGGATTTTTAGAGGGTACTTTATACAAGAAATTTATTTATATTTTCTTAAAAAACGCACGTTTCAAGTTTACCAAACCCTTTAATTATAACTAAATCTAATTCTACTTTATTAATTTAGCAAACGACTTTAAGTCATCTTTTGTCTATTTTTATTTAAGTGTGTTTACGGTGTGATGAAAAGAGATACTTTAGTTCGGTGCTCTTAGGACAGATTTATGAAAATGATACAATTTTAACAAGTCTGTCCCAACTGGGGTCCAAATAAAATAAGGGGTTGGTACTAAGTAATGCGATTTAAAAAAAACTCTTAAATATTTCTAGTCATAGTATTTCAAATTATAAAATTTCCGTTACCTCGAAATCAGCGAGTTTGACGATCCTCCGTTGCGCCTGCCTCCAATGCGGCGGCGTCACCGAACGAGATCGCGAGCGAGAGCGAGACGGCGTGCGGTATCGCTGTACGTTAGAAAGAGACAGAATTATAACTCGCCTTTCCGTCTTCTTCTTTGTCATGTAGAATTCTTGAAACGGGTCTTTTATTTATAGTTCTTTTAAACGTTAAATACATATTATAAGAACACTTATGTTTTAAAAACCTTGTAAAATGTTTCAAACTTACAAACACACCACGCCCCTTAACGATGCGTCCGCTGCGCGTGTACGCGTGACGTTCGCGCTCTCTGTAACGCGGCCTGAAAATAACGGTTATATTAATAATATTTTTTTGATTAGAACAGAAGACAAACGGGCTCACCTGATGTTAAGTGATGCCGCCGCCCATGGACAATTAATCGATCGATCGAATTTGTTCAAAAATACTTCAGTGTGCAGCTGATTCCACGTAGTGGTTGCGCAGTAAAACTGCCTTATAAATCGTTCAGTTGCGGAACGACGGACGTCGAGGTGATACGGGTGGAATTTCGTATTCTGCCTCGATGTCCGATGATGAATCTCAGATACAGGCAGTAAGTAATCCGAACAACTCTGGTCACTCCGTGGTAAATGCGGTAGATGATGCAGAGAGAACCCACATCAGCCGCTCGGAAAGGGATTGTTTGTCGGCGCTCTTCTTTGAGTACAACCTTTAGGGTTTAGCCCCAGTTGTAATAAGGCATCGATAATATTTCTAGATAGGAATTATACTTTATGCTGTACGTGACACACCAAGGTCTATATTCTAATTTGTATATGTCAGTCCCAGTTGGAAGAAAATTCTTTAACTCACACACAACCTCAGGGTAGAAAATCTACAGACATTGTTACACCAATGAATATTGTATATAAATAAACTTTATATACAGAAAATGAGAACAGTCTATAAAGTATAAAATAACTCACCTCTCCCTATCTCTCCTCGTGTCTTTTTCCTTCTCATCCCTTGTTGCTCTCATGAGGAATCTATTGGTGGGCACATCTGGGATCTCCTTTGGATCAATTTTGGTGGTGCTGACCAGCGGATGAGATGGCTCTGAAGTTTGCTCACCTTCAGACTGCTCAGATTGATGTCTAAAAAAATAATTGTGATATGTAATGTAATTATGAACAAATTCCGATCGTGGTTTATATATTATTTAAGTTTTTAGTTATTTTATATACAATTAAAAGAACTAGCCGACTCTTCGCCACTTCTTATAGTACTTAAAACATAGTTATATAACTTCGTATAGTATTTAAAACTTTCAAAGTTCTTAATTTTCTATAGATCACGAGGAATTTTTTAAATGACATTAGTGTTCTTTCCTTACGAATTAATATAAACCAATTCTCGTTTAAATTAAATAAATAAATTCCGTTTTTTTTTTTTTTTTTTTAATACTCGATAAATTGAATAAAATCAGGGTCCCTAGGTAATTTGAAGTGTTTATATGCACCTGTTGTTTGTTTGCATACATGTACAGACATACTTGTCCTGGGAATGTCTTACGGGTAGTAAGTACACTGCTACGCACTCGGAACAATTCAAAATTCTTTGGACATTGATAGAATGAAGTCACTCACTCAAAAAAAATTGGATCTTCATATTTTTAAATCTTATTTATTTTATAAGTATATCTAGTGAAAAATCGGAAAAATAGTATATTCAATTCGAAAGTTGCAGCTTACGTTACAAACGTTGTGTAAAAAAAAATGGCGATTAAAAAGAGTGGCGGAGAGTTTACTGCCAGTTCTTCTCACCCGTTCTACGGCCTTGATTTGAGAACTGGCAGTAAATGTAAAATTAGAAGCATTAATATGTATTTCATAACTGACAAGTCATAAGTGTACATTATGTTACCTATGTGATTAAATGATTTTTTATTTATTTATTTTATTATTAAAAATAAAATAAAAATTGAATGTGAATAATAATATAGAAATATTTTTTTTTTTATATGATAGGAGGGCAAACGAGCTTGCGGGACGACCAAAAAGGGCAGTCTACGCAGCCCATAGACACCCACTTTTAGTGGGTGCGTTGCCGGCCTTTGAGGGAGGAGTAGACTCGCTTTTTAAACATTTGGAGGTCGTATCTCTGAGGGAAGACCCCCCCGGGAGCCGATTCCACAGTTCGCTAGTTCGCAAAAGAAAATGCCTTGTGAAACGGACTGTGGAAGACCTCCAACCATCAAGATGATGCTGGTGAAATTTAGAGGTCGTTCGGCTCGTACGGTGTTGAAAAGAGGCAGGAGGAAATTATGAATTTTGATAAATTTATTTGCTAAAACGCTTGTTATTTTGAAATTATCTCTTCTTGAGTTTAAAATTATCGAGAGGACCGTATAATTAAAAAGTTATTTTCGTTACACACCCCAGAACCGTTGAACTCTTTAGAAATAAACGGTAAAATATGTATTATCACGGCAGAATATTATTATTACCACCTACTTTTTTCGCAAACAGTACACACTGGATATGATAGAACATATCATTAAAAATCTGCTGTAAAAGCTTAAAATGGTTTAGTAAATACTTAAAACAAAATAAACTAATACAATCCAAACAGAGACCAAGAACAAAGATTTGCAGTTCCATTGGATTTGCATAATACTTTTAATAAAAGGCAGAAATGTCTTTTGTCTTACCGTTTCTTCTTCTTGTCTTTCTTCTTTTTCTTTTCCTTCTTGTGAGACTTCTCAGACTCGGCATCACTCTCATCCTTTTCCTTTTCTTTTTCCTTATCCTGTTTACGTTTTTTGCCTGAAATATAACAATTTAGAATATCGAAAAGCTCAATATGAGTAAATATTTCTGATAATATTTAATTAATTGATTGAGTAATTCAATGGGCATTAAAATACTTATTAAATTTACTTCAAAAGTATTATAGAACTTTTATTTATGCTACATTTAACACAGAAAAAACGGCAATTATTGACATATAGCAATTATAATATGTTAAACAATAATCCTTTCCCCCATTTTTTACTTTAACTAAATTCATTGAAAGATGAATATTTTCCATAAGTATTGTCTATATATTTTATCAAACAGAAAAGGAAAAAAATCTCAAAATCCATTGAACCTATCTTGGTAAAACTTGGACTGTTCTCCAAGTTGAAATACATTATTGTTATGAGTTATTATCAATTCCAACAAAATCACATACACTTTGCACTGATACCAGTTTTTGGAGTTGGTGAAAAATTTCCTTACCAGCCTTAAGTTTCACAAGCTGTCCACAATTAGTAACGATGATGTCCTGAAGAGGTCTCGCGTTGCGATCCACGGGAAGCGCTTCCAACTGCCGCACCAGCGTCGCCCCGTTCACTACCTGGCCGAATACTACGTGCACACTGGAACAACGGAGAATCATGTTTAATTCATACACTCCTTAATAAACCTTTACATTGGACGTCAGTTGGACATGTACCCCAGTCAATAAGGATTAACCTTGATTAATTTTCAGAAATTTAAGGGGGGTCAGCTGATTTTGGTCAACCAAAATCGCGAACACATTCGAAAAGTCGATTTAGTTGCGCTTTTGATTTTTAGCACCAATGTGTATGTCACAGCCAACTAGCTTAATCAGCCGTTCAATTAAGAGCCTAGCCTTTTAACTAAACAGCGCCGTTTAACTAGCGGCCTGAAACATATTCAGCCGAAACATTTAATTAAGAAGGTTTTATATGAACTGGATCATCGGTTTTCTATGGACACAGTCAAGCGAAGATTTTTTAGTTAAAATGTTAAGAAATATATCTGTGCATCCTTTCTCTTTAATTAAACCAATGTTAATACATTATTTAACAATAATAAATATTATATCAACTAAATAGCTGATTATATGATTTAATCTTATTTCTGTGGCCAGAGCTAGCAGACGGAGTATAATAGTTTAAAATCAATCATATTTATATTGTAAATAGATATTAATGAAATACTCACTTGTCGAGATGCGGCGCCGGCTGTGTTGTTCTACAACACACAGAACACAAAGAATGATAGCGGGCTGCGCGGACCCCGGCCGCGGCGCGACCTTTACACAACGTACATTTCATACATGACACTATGCAGCGTCCACTCGCAGCTATTATATATAATAGAACCACAAACAATCTGGTATATCTTTTAATAACTATAATTATTTATTTACACATAAATATACATTAACACACATAACTAATTCAACACTAATGTATAAGTCCATTTAAGAAACATAAATCCAACACTTATATATGGCCTGCTTAGACATAATAATAATTCCTGCTCATGGTCAGACAGACAAATACTTTTTAAAATGATTCCTTTTTCTTTTTGAAAAAACTTTAGAATTCATTTGTTCTAAATATAAAATTTCTATAACAGACAGCTAATATTAGGTGATGTAGCTGTTTACCTGATAGCTTTCATATACCATATATAGATATAGTAAATCGCAAAGAAGTGAAGGCTCCACTTACATTACTGGAAAAAAAAGGCACCAATGCTACCAAAATGTCATTAAGCATTTGTTTTTATACTGTATTGATGACGTTTCTTAGTCCCTAAGCTTCATATACTCAATTATCATTACTTTAAGATCTTAGCCTAACATTACAAGTTGTAAATATTAATTTATTACTTTAAATGTAAGATGAAAGTATAAAAATTCACATTTTTCTCACCCATCCATCCAAACTTACATAAAGAACTGTGACCCGTTTGTATCCTTTCCCCGATTTGCCATAGAAAGTAGGAAAGGTCGTTCATGCTTCAGTTCAAATGTTTCATCTGAAATTAAGTAATCAATTTTACAATGTTAAGTCAATCTACAATAAATTTATGATAAGTTGTTTTGTGAATAAATTAAAATTACTATTTTAACTAGTGACAAGTAGTTAAAATTAAATATATCATATCATAATAGACATCTTAGACTGGTCTGGGAGTCTTAGACTGTGAGCTATCAAATTATGGTTTCCATTTCTTAGCTATCAATGTAATTTTTCTTTTTTTATTATGGCTCTGGCACGGTTTGTGCCATTAGCCAGCAAGTATAAGATTTTTATAATTCGTGCTTTTTGCCTTAGCAATCTGACCACGTCCTCCATGTACCTTTTAGGCACTCGCCCGGTACCGCACAACCCTCCCAAAGGCCGAGAACAAATTTAAATTAAATTAAAACTTGCCCTCGAACCGGGAAATGAACACGGTACCCCTCACGTAGCTGCCACTTAATAAGACCGCTAGGCGATGAGGCCCCTATCAATGTAATTGCTAAAACTGTTTTTTGACAGCCCAAGTTAATCATGACCAAAGACAGCTAGAATAATTTAAAATAAACAATGAGTTAATAACTCACCTTCAAATGTACCACCATAAATTGATTCACCTCCGGTTCCATTGGCATTGCTGAAATCTCCTCCTTGGATCATAAAATCCTTCACTACACGGTGAAATACCATGCCCTGATAAAGTAACATTGCATGAAATTACATTATTAATGCAAATTGCGATAATTACTTATATTACAATTAAAAACTAACATGTGCAAAAAGTTTTTGTAGAGCCTCAATTTTTTTTAGTTTCTCTGGAGTTTCAGTTTATGTGGGTAAAACTGTAGTAGTAGAAAACAGTGGCCTACCAGTTATATCATTCAATTCTAACCTTATATGTTAATGGTTTTCCAGTATTTTTTCCAACTCCTTTGTCACCAGCGCATAAGGCCCGGAAATTTTCGCACGTCTTTGGTGCCACATCATTGAACAACTCGAACACAATACGACCCGATGGGAGTCCTCCGATAGCAATGTCCATGAACACACGGTCCCTGGGATTTTCTTCGCCGTCCACAGTCATTTTTATAGTAGAAATATAACACGATCAACGTAACAACTTTCGCTTATTTACTAGTTAATATAACAAACGCAAAGCATATCAGCTTGTAATATTATTGTTTTAAACGTAATAAGTTAAATTCAGGTTATGCTGACTGCCATGGACAACAAAAATATACCCATCACAAACTCACAATAAAGTACAAACAAACCAATAAACTAAACTTGTTAAGCTGTCAGCAACTAAATGAAAATTGTCATTCATCAATCTTCATTCAATAATTTACAGCCAAGAACGTCAAATATATCAAAAAAGAATAAGAAAAGAGAAAATAGAAAATAGAATAAAGGCCCATTTACACGATGCCATTTTCTTGTACATACCAGAGCAATAAATGAAGCGCAATAATTGCCGTTCAAGAATTGTATGCAACTGTTTACACTTGAAAACTAGAATGCAATTATTGTATTCAAGTCTTGACAAGGAAATAATTGCACATGCCTTTTGTTTACATCAATGCAACTATTTTAAGGAGATTATAGCCTTCAAGTTTTGACTTGTCTAAACACAGGCTTGTACGTGCGTATACCATTTAATGGCGTTTTCGTTCAAGTATTGCACGTATTTGCGTTGACAAATTTTTCATTCAAGTCTTAAATGTTTTAGAAGAGTGTTGGAGTTTGAATATGTAAATATTAATGAATTAATGGCAGGCAACACTTGTAAAGAAATAGTTTTAGTTTAGAATATAAAGAATACCTGTTTGAATTTTATATAAAAAGATAGTTTCTGTTTTTTGTTTTCAGTACTTCTATTTTAGACGCGGATAGTGTAACATCTTTGGCTCTTTATAAACATAAATTATTGTTTTTTAAAATAGACCTTCACCAACCGATCTCAGTCTTCTTAAAAGATAAGAACCATCCAACAGAGAGGTATGAGTAAAAAGGTGTTTAAATTCAGTTCTGCTGATATAATAAAGTTCATTGAGATTTATCGCAGTCATGTGTTTATGGGATACCGAAAATGTAAATTATAAGAACCGATGCACGTAATGCAGCACTAGCAGCATTTTCACAGGAATTTGGAGTTGACGGTTTCGGACCGAAGGAAATAACAAACAAATTAAAAAAATTAAACTAAATTAATTGCGTACAACAATTGCGTAAGAAATTATTGTACGTGCTGTTTACATCAATAATAGTTTTGAAAGGAAACTTTTCCCATTGATCAAGAATGTTACGTTTTGTTTAGACCACGCAACTCATTTATTGCGTCGATATAATTGTATGCTACAGGCAAGAAAATGGCATCGTGTAAATGGGCCTTTAGGAAGCAATCGTATTCTCACTGGGAGTGCGGATTCAAAATTATCCACATGCAATTGGTACACGCAGGTTATAAATAAGTATAAAAGATTAACAAGCCAGCTTTGCTTGATAATCTTCGAATTTAAGAACCAATTCGAAGTTGATTAAAGTAGAATGTATTTTAAATTATGTACTCAGTACTGAGTCAATTATTTAACATATTTGTAGAATTCCTAGACGTAACAGATTGGATCAAAAGACAATTTTCAAGAATGCAGTCACTATTTGTCATCACTACATATCTCAAAAATGTGTAATTTTGCGAATTAAAACTACTTTACAAGTTTTCATAATAAATACTTACTGTGTACAATGACTATGAATGAAATAAAAGAATAGAGCATATTGGTATATCTGAATTCACGAAACGATTAGTGACTTTTAAACTATTTGCTTGGCCTTGTAGTGTCGATATATAAATATAAATATATAAATGCTCAAAACAATATACAAGATTTTAGGGCACTTTCTCGAATTATTAAAAATATCTTACTGCTCCGTGCTTATACATATTATTCAGTGCTGTGATAAAAAAAATCAGTAATTTGCTGTAATTCGTGAAAAAAAAAGAATTTAACACCGTTCAGCGAATGAAGAATGAAAGAAGAATCTATTTTAAATTACGTGTGAGGCTATTGTCTATGCTTTAATGTCAATAGTCATAACTCATGAATATAAAATCACAGCTCCCTGTCTATTTCGTGTTTGTGGAACTCTGAATTAAAAAACAGTTGCATTATAAGCATTTTTAAGAATTTTAAAAGATTATCGTCTCTTTTAATTAAACATACTCAATTTTATTTTATCGCATTCATTTATTTAAAACTTTTCATAGTGAAACATGTTGGGATCCGGCGATGGAGGTAATATTATCAAATTGCGTGGGTTACCATTCTCCACTACAATCGAAGATGTTTTGGATTTTTTAACTGATGTCAACGTGTTGAACGGAAAAGAAGGTAATTCTATTATTCTTTTGGGTTTTTAATTTATCATATTATTCATATCTTGTTTTATTATTGTTAATCACTGTGTAAGCCACTCCATCTATCGATCATTTACAGGTGTACATTTGACTGAGGTACGACCTGGCCGTCCATCTGGTGAGTGTTTTGTTGAAGTGGAGAGCCAACAAGATGTTGAGGAAGCTTTGAAGAAAGATAAAGAAAATATGGGCAAGAGATACATAGAAGGTAATGTTAAATAAAACTTGGTCTTGAAAGTTTTGTACACTCTATATTCTAAACACAAATGTGTCTCCGTAACTAAAATGGATGCATTATATTAATTTAAATTGAAGTATTTTATTATTTGTACAAAAACGATCTTACAATTTCATTATCATGTGTTAAGCACGAATTTCAATCATTTATAAATCACTTCATTCTTGTTCTTGCTAGTGTTTTCCACTGATCGGCAAGATATGGAATGGGCACTGAATGCAATGAAACAAAGTGAAAATGGATTTGATACACTTCCTATTGTCAATGATGACATGGGTGTTGTTAAGCTGAGAGGGTTACCCTTTGGCTGCTCAAAAGATGAAGTTATACAGTTTTTTAACGGTAAGTATTTGCTCATTACTATGTTATTTTCTGTTGTAGTTTAGTTTTATGGTTTTTTACCATATACAACTTGATTGTACCTAAACAAATGAACTCTAAACAAAAAATTCCATTGCAACATAATCTTCATTCTTTGAACAAAATTATTACTGTGTTTTTTCATTAGAGTTGTAATAACTTATTAGTTTAGCAACTCTTCTAAAGCTTCTTTTTAAACACAAGGATTTTTAAAATTACTATCAAACTTGTAGTAAATAATTTTCGATATTATAATCTTTTATGTTGTATAAAAGAATAAGTTTTGTATTTATCAGTTTACGTGATTGGAGAACGAAGTAATAACACTCATAATTTGGTGGATAATAATATTTATTTCGACTTGTCAAAGCAATTGGTACATCTAAGACAATAGTATGTATTTATCGGGTGGGCAGGGATCCAAGTGGCCCCGGAGGGGGTGCACTTACTATCGGACAACACGGGGCGGGCCTCGGGCGAGGCGTATGTTTACTTCGTTGACAAACAGGGTGCTCAAGATGCCCTCAGCAGGGACAGGGAGAAAATAGGACACAGGTGGGGGGAACGTTTTTATATGTGGCCTATTGTTGATATTTGGTGGCATTGCTGGTAAAATGCAATCTTACAAAGTTCGTAATAGGTTGACCCACATATTTTTAGCGTTATATTTTGTTTTACTTTTAAAAATGGTAATTTTTACTACACCGTTAGATCTCTATTTAATTCTTCTCTTATATAGTTTGGTAAACAAAGTACACATAATATTTTGTTAAATTGTCACCTTTATTCTGACATCTGTTTATCTGTTTTAAATTCATAAAATTTTGCAATGTTGCCTCATATCAATAAACATTGACAATGCCACAAATAAAGTAATTTGGTGTAGAGGGTTAAGTATGGGACCTCTACATTATGGACATTTAAGATTTATGGTTTAAGATTAAAAATCATTCATAGCAATACATTGTTATCATCTATAAATCATAAATTCCACAATAAAGAGGTTTTATTAAATAATATTTGGGAATTTAGTGAAATAAGGGCTTAATAATTGCACTCCAGAAATGCTAATGATACTTTATTTTATTGTTGTGATCATGCCTTTAAAAAATACTAGTTTCTTATATTAGCTACACTATATCCTATTAGATCGTAGAAAGAAATAAAAACCTATACCATTAAAGAATTTGATATATCACATATCTTATACCTATAGAATCTTGATATAGTATACGATCAAACAAATATGTATTAATTAATGTCTGGGTTTCTTATTGGCAATTATAAAATTCAATACACTGTCAAAATATCAGCTATTGACAGCTGACAGCTGATAGCATATTATCCAATATGATTTTTTATATAATTCTTGGCATGTATTATGGAATGACATAGTGACTTTTTTCTTATGGTATGATCATAATAATAAATCTTAAGTTACATTTGTGGGTTGCATATGATTGGATGTTGAGTTGTCAGAGGGCCTGCGAGGGGCGAGGGGACCGGAGGGGGAAACGGCGGGAAGATTCAAGACAAGGATAGCGATATGTTTATAGGCGACGAGGTCTCCGAAAATGGTGTCGGTGTTTACAGATTAAATGTGATGACGTCATATTTTCTTTACAGAGTTCTGGAAAGAATTGCCAGATTTTTTTTAAATTTAAAACTTACATGTGAAATTTATTATTTTTTTGGATAAATAAATTAATTTAAACGAATATAGTTTGACTTCGTAAATTATATTGATAAAGACTTGGTATTTCAGGTACATAGAAGTGTTTCTGAGTTCGCCTGACGAAGTGAGGGCTTACGCAGCGCGAATCGATAATGGAATGCGATCCAGCCGTGGGTACAGACCGACACCGTATGATAGGAACGAGCGATTTGGTGGGCGCTTTGCTTCGAGGGGAAGAACGGCTTTTGGGAGAGGTTGGTAATTTTGATTATTATTTTATATATACATACATTTAAATATATTTTAGTAATATACGGGAGCGTTCAATTACGTAACGAATTTGGGAGGGTTGGTTTTTATCGTTACAGGAGTGGGAGGGTGTTTCTGAACTAAGCGTTAGTTGACATTGTTTTTGATAATATTTACGCGATTAAAACAATAAAAAAAGTGTTTTAGCGGCTTTTCGGTACATTATGTATTTATGGTAAAAAGAGTCACTTGGTGGTCTCGTAACGTTAAAGAAAACGTTACGTTACGCGTTACATGAGGGGAGGGGAGTGTCAAAAATCTCCGAAAATTGCGTTCTTTGGTCTAAATTTGATTTAACTAAAATTTTGGTATATAGTAAAGTAGTAGTATAGTCCTCGCGTAGACCAAATATGTTGATTTGTAAGATACTAATACTGCTGTAAAAAAGGACCAACATTATAACTTATTATCTACCTATAACACAAAGGAGCTTGACACACAAGAAACCTGTAAAATGTATGTTTTAATTTATATGTAATAAATGTAAGGAGTATATTATGTAGTGTATGTATTAAAAATCTAGACTAGATAACTAAATATATGGGAAGGTGAGACCTTAGAACTAGAGAATTATCACTAAATATATTCAAAGCCGTGTATGTTTATGTAGCTTTATGTATTAACGTAAATTAATCAATAAAGCTTTTTATAAATTTGACGATTATTTAAATGATCCTAATCCTTGGGATTGATTTGCTCCAGTTCAAACAATTTGTATGACTCAAAACTTGGCGATTAAAAAGAGTGGCGGAGAGTTTTTTGCCAGTTCTTTTTGCCCGCTCTACGCCCTTGAAGGGCGAACTGGTGGTAAAAGTAAATTTATAATAATTAATTTAACTTCTTTTTTGACGTTCATAAGTTTACCTATATGAATAAAGTTATTTTGGGTTTGAATCAATGTTTAGGCGGTAGTGGTGGATATGGTGCGGCCAGAAGTGGGTTGAGACGCAGCAGTGGACTCCACTGCGTGCACATGCGAGGGTTACCCTTTAAGGCTTCACCACAGGATATCGCTTATGTAAGTTATAATTTTTGTGTTGGATAATTGAAAATTATATGCTTCTAAGCATGTGCACAACTTCTTATGTTTGTCTACAAATTTCAAGTTTATTCAAAATCAGGTTAATACAAATACGAATACAGTAAACCCCCCCTATAACGCGGTAGACCCGGACCGTGTTATACGATGTTTTGACCTACAATTTTTTATTTATTTATTTATTTTTCTCACAAAAACTTAAACTTAGAACATAGGCAAGTGACAGTTATATTCTCACTTCTGTTAATGGAAAAAGCAAGTCTGTGTGAGACTGATGCCTGATAAAGGTAAGAGTACCTGTGTTACAGGTCATCAGGCCTCCACTACTTCGGATTGACAGAAGATACAATACAATACAATACATTACAATATATAGTATATAGAGGAAACCAGATGGGGTACGTGTGTATGTGTAAATTATGTGTATGTGTGTGGGTGTGTGTCTGTGTATGTTTTATATTTTATTACTTAAGTATTAGTCTATTGAAGCTAAAACTATTATACTAAAAAATCAACTCTAAACTCAACTATTTAATTATTGTCAGCATTTTTTCTGTATCCTCATAGTTGAGGTCCAGTAGCCACAGTGCAACCGTCTTCTGGACGACTGGTGCTATTAAGAAAGGGCAAAAAGCCCCCAGAGTCACCCTCAGCGTATCGCCCAATAGTCCTGCTAGATGAAGCTGGCAAGCTGTTCGAGCGGATCATTGCCGGTCGTATTTACAAGCACCTAGAGTCTGTGGGCCCTAACATACACGAAGCGCAATTCGGGTTTAGAAAGAGGCGATCAACAATAGACGCTATCGCTCGACTTCGAGCAGTGTGCGAAGAGCAGCTGTCCCGCGGTGGTGTGGCCTTAGCAATATCGTTGGACGTCGCCAACGCTTTTAACACACTGCCCTGGGAAAATATCGAGGCAGGCCTCAAATATCACGGGCTACCGGAGTACATACAAAAGTGTATTGCATCGTATCTTACAGGACGCCGAGTCGTTTACCCATCTAAACATGGTCTCAGGGAGCGACTTATCAAATGCGGTGTTCCACAGGGCTCCGTTCTTGGACCGCTGCTATGGAACATCGGCTACGACAAGGTACTCAGGGCGGAACTAGTCGCGGGAGTGACAACTATCTGCTATGCCGACGACACACTCGTGGTTGCTTGTGGGCAGGATTACAAGGAAGCGCGATTACGCGCAACTGCTGGAGTAGCCAGAGTTGTGTCCGAGATTAGAAAGCTTGGTCTCACAGTCGCCCTCGCCAAATCGGAGGCGATATGTTTCCACGGCCACCGCAGAGCGCCACCACAAGGTGAAAGCATTATAGTCGGCGGAGTATCTATCCTGATCGGCTCCACACTCAAATACCTAGGGCTTGTCCTAGATCCTCGGTGGACGTTCAAGGCGCACTTCACGACACTTGCCCCCAACCTTACTACCACAGCAGGTATGCTCTCACGCATAATGCCAAACCTAGGCGGGCCGGGTGGAGAGTGTCGCCGCCTATACGCTAATGTAGTGCGAGCGAAGGCATTGTACGGGTGCCCAATATGGGCGGATAAGCTGAACCGGTACAACAAAACCATCCTCAGGCAGTCGCAGAGAGTAATCGCAATTAGGGTCGCGAGGGCGTACCGCACGGTTTCGTATGACGCAGCGTGTGTTATAGCCGGCACCACACCCTGGCACCTCGAAGCGGATGCCTTAAGCGAAGTTTATTGGAGGAGGGCCGAAGCCAGGCACAATGGTAATGACCCAGCGCTCGGAGCAATCAAGTCGTGGAAAATTTCCGAAGAAAACGAAGCAATAAGACAGTGGGCGGAAGAACTAGCTACTGCGAGCGCTGGGTTCTACACCATCAACGCGTTCAGACCACATCTCGACAAATGGGTGAGGAGGCGGTGGGGCCGCCTCAGCTACCGACTCGTGCAGATATTGTCCGGACACGGCTGTTTCGGCAGCTATCTGCACAAGGTAGTCGGGCGTGAGGAGGCACCAACCTGCCACCATTGTGACGCTGGTGTTGTTGATGATGCGCTCCACACCTTAAAGGATTGCCTAGCATGGGAGGTGGAAAGGAGGCCTCTACTGGGCGTGCTACAGGGCGAGGACGCTACCCTCGATAACATTGTGAGAGTAGCAGTTACAAACACGGACAGTGACGGCATGTGGGAAATCTTCCAGAGATTCTGTGAAGCCGTCATGCACAAAAAGGAAGAGGCGGAAAGGGCCAGGGAGGATGATCCTGCAGCCCACCCGCGTCGCCGTAGGAGACCACAGCGCCGCCGTTGCACCGTGCAACCCCGTGTGTAATCCTGGGCACGCAGTTGCTCCAGCGGGGGAACAGGGGTCCATGCGTCGAAAAGAAGGGATGCTGACGCATCCCTGCAAGCATCGTGCCCGACCTCCCCCAGCTTTATAAACAGGGTGACTTGGCCGATGTGAAAGGCCCTTGCTGTGCCAAGGTCCATTCCACATCATTCGTGGCCGTAGAGGACCGTGATACTAACGGCTGATCGCGTGGCTGGATGCGGACAAGGCCACGCTGTTACCGTGTCCTGCCCCGGGCGATTGCTGGTGGCGCCGTGGGGTTTTAGTGGGTATGCACTGTTGTGCGAGTCCCACATAACCCTTCCCCCCAAGGTCAACCGTGCCGCGGGAGGGTATGCTTAACGCATTTCCCCACGAAAAAAAAAAAAAAAAAAAAATGCAACCGTCTTCTTGCACTCGTGTTTAGTTGATGACGCAGACAAAACATTATAAATATTTGTGTAATACCTAAATCTTTATATTATGAAGTATCGTGGTCGCGTCAGTATGTATAATAACCTCAAGAAACTACAAAATGTTTAAGTATGTACGATAGACCCAGACCGCGTTATAGGAAATCGCGTTGTAGGATTATTCGCGAAAAGCCGTTTTTTTGAACAATTCAAAAACTAGGAACACGAATTTAATAAAGTTGTTTAGTTTACTTTTAAACAGATGCAGTACGCAAAACTAATAATAAACAAATCATTATACATTTCACACTACAGAATTATAACTTGATAAATCTCCGCGTTATATGGGGACGGAACCCTCGTTATAGCGGAGATTACTGTATTTTGTTTTTTAATCGCTACCCTAAAATACACAGAATGTTGCCATAAAAGCATTTTCTACTTTTTCGTTTATGGTTTTTTAGTTCTTCAAACCAATCCGTCCGGTCAACATCACGATACTCTACGACAGCAGCGGGCGGCCTTCAGGCGAAGCTGATGTGGAATTTGAATGTCATGATGACGCTATGAGGGTGAGCTTTGCCACTTACGAGGAATTCCTGGAGAATCTGGAGCGCTGTCAAAAGTGACTTTGACGTGGAGTGACTTCAAAAGTAATTTTTTTCTGTATGAAGTTTGACACATTTGACAGCGCTCAAGACGGGATTGTGACTTGTGATATAAGATTTAGAATATGGACCTTAATAAGATTTCAGGTAAAATGTTTTAGACGGACAACTAATCATCACGCTCTATTTGTAATAAATTATCCCTAAGAAATTTAATTTTAACAAACAAAATGACAGATGACATTTGACCCAAAAGTCTGTGTATGGCGTAATGTGTTCCACTCATATCTTAAGTAAAACATCGTATTCTTTAATAAGACACTTCACTACAGGTAGACATAAAAATAATAATAATACACTAAAACACCAAACATGTACGTTCATTAACATACAGATACACATTATAAAAACACTGTTAAAAACTGATAACCATTGACGATTTTAAAGTTATATTTTACTATATGAAATGTATTCATTCGTTGGAATAAAAGATAATTAAGAACCTTCAACATTATATTTAATAGGAAATTAATATTTTTAAATTCTTATACAGGCAATGAGGCGAGACAAAAACAACATGGACCACAGATACATAGAATTGTTTCTGAACTCGTCACCAGGTAGCGGCGGAGGCGCTTTTAAATCTAACCGGAGCTTCCGGAACTATTGATTGTTTTACGTCCGGCAGTTATGCTCCTAATTTGCAATAATAGTAACGTCACATGAAGGTTTTAATACAATAAACTATTTAACTTTATTTAAAAATATAGTTTTATAATAGTCATTAATACAGATTATATCAGACTGATATAAATATTGCTGTTATATAAAATTGACGTTGAAAATGACAGACTTATGACCGGAATATTCAAATACCAATTATAATTGCAATAATACAGATAATTCAATAATCGCCAGTTAAAATTTATATTTGAATATAGAAACCGGACGTGAAGTCTAGAAAGTAGCTAAACCTGTGACGTTACTTCCGATGCAAACGTATGTTCCAAATTCAAAAGTTGTCAGGGGCCAACAAGGTTTTGCGACAGGCGAGACCGGCTAACGTAATGTAAAATTGTATGAGAATGCACACACTTGGTCACGTGACCGATCCCATACAAATTCGATTGGCTTCCGGCGCGCCTGTCGCAAGAATGTTTGGCTAAGGCCCTTGATGACGTCATTGTTCGAATTCCATTCTAATATGGAACTGTTTGTAACATGATTTCTATCTTAAATTAGTATTTTTTTACTCAAGAATTATCTAAAAGTACATTTGATTGTATTTTTAAGTTTTATAACGGTAATTGTTATGTGCATGTTTATATTTACACGAAATTCTGTTAAAATTGTCAACGGAACGACCACTGTACTTAATGTTGAAATTTTTATACGAATTCTCAAAATTACAATGAGATTATCCACAGAGAAAATATAGACAAGGTTTAAATTTTTTTTCAATTACTAAACCAATTATTTAAATTTTCTAATAAAAAATTATATATTTAACAAAAAATCTTGTTTTAAAGTTTACTTAATATAAATGTTTTGTCAACGCATCTGTCTCTTTTCATCATATTGTAAAATCGATTTGACAGAAAGAGACAAAAGAGTGCAAGTGGACTAAAGATTAAAAATTATTTAGATTTTTTTTAAATACTATATAATATGGTAAATATAATTGTTGCTTACGTAATGGTTTGATTAGTTATTTACTTCAGTTAATTAATATTAACTCCTAACGAATGACTCTGAGTGAAGTGTAATTCCTGTGTAAATTTAAATTATTTCATTAGCACTCTTACTTTTTCGTTTCGACTCTGTGGATATTATTAAGCTTAAATATATTTTACAGAACAATTATAATAACATCGAATATTCGTGGGAAAGTGTCTGATTTTGTGGATTTTATACAAATATCCCGTTTTAGTATAGATTAATTAAATAGCCATAAAGTTTTTAAGAATGTGTGGTTTTATTTTTATCCCAATTTCCAATTGGAAGCCGCAAAGATTTTTTTTGCACAGATTATGTCCAAATGTTTACACATTAAAAAGTTGGTCATAAAGAAAAAAGGAATCAGAAGTAGTCTCAAGCAAAAAGTTTGTACTCAATTGTGTACAAGACATTCCTTTGTAATAAATATATTGACAATAGTCTATTGACAAGTAGCCCCAATATTAGTCGCAAACATTACTACACCTTGTCATCTCGACGCCAGAAATCAGGCGGCAATAAAAATGAGCTCTCGAATAAATCATGGGCAATCATTAGTGGGGTCCTCGGGGGTATTGGCGCAAGTGACTGGCGACGGATTGCAAAACGAAATTGAAGTATGAATTTAGATTATTTTATAAATGGGGTTTGAGTTGTAACGTTTTCGAATAGGGAATAAATCATAACACTCATGTAACTTTAAATAACGTGAAATGGAACGTTATAGAATTAACAATAAGAGAGATAATGTAGAATATATTAGAAGAAGATTTTTTAACCTTTTGTAATATGTATTATTATAACTTTTATGACACTTTAGAAGCGAACTTAAAACGGAACGTTAAAGAATTAAAAATGAGAGCAATAACCTAGAAACGTAAAATTCTTTAATTAAAATGTTTCAAAGAAAACTTTATGATTCTTGTTCTGACAGTAACCATTGTACCTATGTAATAAAATAAGTAATCCGTTCTCTCCTAGATCTAATAAATTATTAATTTTTAAACGATCAAAGTGTCGTTGGATAGTAGCTTTACGATACATGAAAAGAATTGAACGAGCTCGAAAATCATTAATTTTCAGAATAAAACCGCTATATCATTTATAGATTGTAAGTGCCTGGGTATAGCACACTCGATACATTTCCTTATATAAATGCCTGGAGCTGCAAAATCGCCAACGCTTTCCCCTTAGTCGCATTCACCGTTCGGACCGCAGGGCGCCCCGCACGGCGGCAATAGGGCGCGGCACCGCGGCACCACGCCAGAGCACAAATAAGTTGGCGCCAGCCGTTGTCTTAGCACACCCAAACTTGTACCCCTCAATTAAAAACGCTTATTATAAACATTATTGTTATTGTACAACACGTAATACAGGAAAATATTTAAATAAAATTGTCTGATATTTAAAGATCAGGCTCTTATAAGTTCACTGACATTTAGACATTCACTAATATTTGACAATTAAAAAAATGTTCGCGCGCAAATCTCGAATTTTGACATTGACATTATTTAAAAGAACGAAGGTTATACATAATTGAGTATTTTAAATACTTAAACATTGAATGACTGGTTATGAGCCCAGCTGGTCAGGCAGATGACGCGCAGTGGGCGGATGCAATCGCATAGACAATTATGAAAAGCGATGTATTGAGGCGTCAGAGATTCAGCTGTCTCGACTGGTCGGCTCCTGGCGAGCGTGCGTCCACGTGTCAATGTTGCCAATAATAGTAGACGTAAACCGACAAAAAAAAATTGAACATATTTTAGGAAGAGAACACTATTTGTTTTGTAATATTCTTTATTATGGCTATAATTAAAATAAAATCTGAATTATCGTGAATTTTCTAAACAAAATACATTGTTCATCTAGATTTAATAACCAATGCTTCATTTTGTATGAAGCAAATCGTGACTATAGTTTTTTTAGTAAATGATCCTGAGTTTTCAACGCATATATATATAAAATACATCATCATCATCTAGATTTAATAGCAAACCAATTTAAACAAACAAATCATGACTTTGGTTATGTTAAAATCTTACTAAAAATGACATAATTTTGTAATTTTACAATATGAGTAACTATCATTTGCTAAACCTTACAAAAAGCGATATTTTTCAAATATTCCTTTACTTTTGAAATGTTCCAAACCTTGCAACATTGCTACTCAAATCCTTAAACCTTTCAATAGCGTGTATAATAATAATAAATCCTTTATTTGCAAAGAATGTGGAACATTCAGATCGATTAATTATAAAAATATAGGCATGTAATTATATTATCATAATGTCATAATAATAAGAACAGTTGAGTTATTTATAATATTTGTTGTCGAAACTTTTCGTGTTGCCTTACAAATTATAGCACGTAAGTGTTTAGGATCAAATACAGCCCTAGTTGTCCGTTCAAAATAATAATTATATAGTATTGTCTTTTTTTATTGTCTTTTATTGACATAAATTTCACACATTTAATAATAAAACAATTTATATGTATGCTTAATATGTATTTACAATTTCTTTTCAAAATTTATAAAATTATGAAAAATAATTGTAATAATACATAACTTCAATCCGGTAAAAAATTGTTTTATTATTAATAATTATATTTTGTTTTATAGAACGGGGCCAACGGGCTGGAGGCCCACCTGATGTTAAGTGATACCGCCCATGGACACTCTCAATGCCAGAGGGCTCGCGAGTGTGTTGCCTTTTAAGAGTTGGTACGTAGGTCTTGAAGGTCCCTAAGTCGTGATAATCTAATATATAAAATCCTCGTGTCGCGGTGTTTGTAGTTAAACTCCTCCGAAACGGCTTGACCGATTCTCATGAAATTTTGTGTGCATATTGGGTATGTCTGAGAATCGGACAACATCTATTTTTCATCCCCCTAAATGTTAAGGGAAGTCCAACCCTAATTCTTTTTTTAATTTTTAGATATATATATATATATTTTTTATGATACAGCATTAAAAAATACATACAACCCCTAATTTTCACCCCTCTACGATCAACCCCTATTTTTTTATTATAAATGATACATGGCAAAACGACGTTTGCCAGGTCAGCTAGTATTCTATAATATTATTATCAATTCAATTATTGTACTAAACGGGCTTTAAGTGTTATATTATGGTAAGCAAAAAAAAAATACAGAAGTGTGTCTTCCCCTTATTGGAGACTGTAAGTTGTGTTGGACTTTTTTATGTTAAATGTTCTTTTTACCCGAATGGAAATAGATAGGCCATACACTCCGAAGGGATCCCAATCACATTCCCAAGCAGGCGCTTGATTGGAAGCCGCAAGGCATGGCCCTCAAAAGCAAACCTGGCGTCGTACAGTTGCAGATGAGGCAAAGAGAGCCGGAAAGACTTGGAGCGAGATGAAATATAAAATGATGAGCGCCATGAAGACTCACTGCGAACGCCCTTTACCCCATCTAGGGGTTATGGGACATTAAGTCAAGTAAGTCAAATATCCTTTTTAGTAAATTAAGTTATTATTACTTATTGGTCTTTAGTTACGCTAGATCGTAATGTTTTTGATGTCTCAGTGAAGACACATTAAAAAAAAGTGCGTGCGTTCAAAGAACACATGTCAGAAGTGAAACTTCTTTGGAAAACGAATTCTTTAGTCTTGTTCATATTTATACAAATCTAAAACTTTAAAAAAAGGAAGATATGTTAGGAATTTAATTGTCATTAAAATATTAAGTGTCGAAAATTATAAAGTTTTTTTTTTTAAATTTGTTTGTGCGAAAATAAAATCACGTGGCATTTTAATTTACATTTATTTATTTTGAATAAAATATAAAATACTAATATTTCGTAAATTCTCGTTACGAAATTTTAATTTTAAATTTAAAAATAGAATGTCATAAGGTAATTCTCACTCTCTCTCAATCGGTCTCAATCGCTCTCTCCCATTTCTTCGACGAAATCTCTGCACATCT